CCCCAAAACCCCAAAACCCCAAAACCCCGAATAGATAAAATTTCATAAATTTCGAATAATCTCAAATTAATGTTTCATAAAAGTAATAAATTTCCATAAATTAGTTCTATATAAAATTCTATCTAGCATTTTATATTCAATAAATCGAACAATTAGGGTTTTCACAGCCCCTCATACAAGAGCGATTATAATCATCTTCCTTAAACTCCAAGTCATTTCTATAAAACTCATTAAGCATTTAGACCTTTAACTTTCTAGCATTCAATAAACGCCTTTAATCAACCAAAATTTATGAGTTTTCTCTCTTTTCAAAAGTAATCCTGTTCTTTTAATGATTTCTCTTTCCAAAAGTTTAGTCATTTGTGGCAGGTTTTAAGATCTCAGCACCAGTATGAATTTTATACTTGTTTTTAGGTTAAGCAGTTTCATGACCATCATCTTCAAATTAATTATGTAGCCGATTTTTTTCTACTTTTTTGTAAAGGTCTATTTTTTCAAATTTATTGCTTTTATTAAAGTGCTCTTCAGGCACAAAATTAGCTTCTTAAAAGAAGTGCTTCTTGTTTAAATCGAGCTTGTCCTAACTATTTAGTAAACTTTGTTTTCTTTTCACCATTTTTTCATCTATTTCTCTTTGATCATACATCTTTAGTGGCTCTTCAAGTTTCTAAGAAATTTTATATACAATTTTTAAAAAATAATACCTTTGAAGTTAGCATAACTCCTATTAAGTCTCTTTTCTCTTCTTCTTCATCTTCTTCTTGATCACCTTTGAGTGTATTTTCAATGACCTTCTTTTTTATTTCCTCCTTCTTTTTAGCCTCTTCTGCAGCCTCTATCATATCTCCAGAAAACTTCTTCAAAAACTTTTGTTTCCCTATTGAACTGTAAATTAATGATTCTTGGAATTAAGAGTACTTACTCTTTTTGTTATCAGTTAGACCTATCATTTTTATTCTTTTCATATGGTTAGCTTCATCCGTTTTCTAGTTATCAGATTACGTCGGTAGATAACTCGAATGGAGTCCAGATAAATTTTTACTTGCTTCATTGTCTTGCTAATAATCATTTTCATTCTTTTAAAGAGTTATTGTCCCTGTTCCATTGTTAGGCTTATTTATATCCTCAGTTTTCCCCTCTAGCAATAATTTCTCATTTGTTGTCAGTTCATCTTAAGATCTTGAATAATTGATTTAGTCTTCTATTAGCAGCTTCATTGAATGTTCATTCATCATCCTAAGGCAATCTTAGTAGAGTATCTTATCGCATTAGTTTGCCAAGTTGTATGGGTCGGTTTCAATTTAAATTTGCCTCATGAATTTGATATTGGTGAGTTTTGTGAACAACTTGGAGTTTGTAAAATCTCTTCCATTTTTAGCTCTTGCTTTTTCAAACTATTCTCCAAATATTTTAAGTAAGTCATTGTCTGCATCTGTCTTAACATTTTTTGGCATTGGAATGTCCATCAAACTGCTATTGAAACTCTCATTGATTCTTGAATTGTTAAGAGATGCCTCAGGTTGATAGTTTACGCTAGATTTATGAATCAAATTCCAGAAATAATAGTAAAGTGCTCTTTCAACTAGTGAGTATTTGATCCATGGGCAGTAATGCTGGAACACTTCAGTTAATGAATCTGTGAACTCATGTATATAGTAAAAATTCAGTCTTTGATTGTATCTTGAGGAAGATGGTAAGGGATCACCTTCACCAGACAACTCATTTATTTTTCTATGAAGCTCTCTTCTGTTAAATTCTCTTAATCTCACTCTATTTGCAATTCCTTCCACAATTTTAGCAGGGAATTCTTTAAGTTCAAAATTATCCACGCAAGATGCTAATTTCCACATTTTTTCCTCGAATTAAAAATCAAAAGCTAGCCTTTCCCTCGATTACTATTTGAAATCCATTTCTCTTTTTCTAATCTCAGACCACATAAGTTATAGACCAATTCTATAGAATGTTAATTCAAATTTAAAATGATTACATATAGGCTAGCCATTATGAAAAACTTTAAACCTCTTTATTTGGTTCTCCATATGACTACTTTTATCTCTCAATTAAGCTAATGGGATCAACTTGCATTCTCTATTACACCTATCTTAAGACATTCTCCATCTAATCAAATCCAAATGAATCTTGATAATATCCTCTCATATCAATAATCATGGACTCAACCATACGATAGCTAATGCACTTTTCATAACTGTTGTTATTCTTTATATTAAGCCCTGCTCTTTTAAAGCATTAAAAGATTCCTCCTTTTGTTTCTTTATCTAGAAGTTCTTTAAAATACTTTTTTCTTTTGTCTACAGCCCCAAATACCTTACAGAGAAAGAATATTTATAAAAATGGCAGGAATATCTATGATGCCATTAGGTTAAATAATATATATACTTACGAAAAAATCAATGTAATCTTGTCCATCTTTTTGCATGGTCTGAAAAATCTACTCATAAACTTCGCGTGGGAAGTTTAACTTAGAATAATGTCCCTCTTTAAATATTGACATGATTCCCGCATCAGTTGTGGTGTTCTTTTTTATAATGTTTAAAATATTTTTCATTCTTTCTATACCAAGCATCTCAGGGTTACTGAAAGTCTCAAAGCAGTCAATCATGTCATTTTAATCAAATATCATATTTTCATCTTTATCCAATTCTAAGTAAAACTTCCTAAATAACCGGTGAATTTCTTTTAAATCAAAACTAAACAAGAGAAACACAAACTTGTTACTTTCATTCTTTATAACAGCTCTGGGAGCTTTGTCCTTGCCACTTGCGAATAGATTATCAACCATTTTACTAAGTCTCTTTGTTTCAGCCCGTTTAAGAAGACTGTCAGTCTCTAAAGGATAAACCTACTCGAATATTCTATTAAAAACGTGGCATCTTTTCATGCTTTGTAGAAATTAATTATCTTTCTTGATTATTTCTTAAGGAACAGGAACAATCTCGCTTTCTTGTAAGTTGTTATATTAATTGAATTGAAATATAAGTCCTTTGATATATTCTTTTCTCATCTCTGAAAAGAGATAGTCCATTTAAAATATGATAGGATTACAGTTATTGTGCCTCAGCTCCTCATACTCACCATTGTTTATATATCTCTCAGGAAAATTAGTCCCATATTTTTCAATTTCATAATGGAAGCTCTTTTCACCGTCCAAAGGATTCATCATTTTACCTCTAATAGCACTATCAGTTGACTTATATCTGTTATGGTTCATTTAGTTGACAATAGCAGCTTCTTTTTTTAATTTTTTCTTGTCATCCTCCTCATATAGATTTATAAGTCTTTTCATCTAATCAGCGAACTATGGATTCTTTTAGAGTTGAGAAAATCTTGAAATTTCGGTAGGATTAACAATTGAGTTCGTTACAGACTTCGAAAAAGAATGATCACCTTGAGAAGTACCATCATCTGAAAAATGCATTGAAGCTTGGTTATTTCCTTATTCATCTTCATCTCTTTACTCAATTATGCTGCTATTATTAAGCATATTGCGTTGTAGAATAAATGAAGATGCATTTTTCTTGTCCTCTACTTAAGCATAATCCATCTCAAACTCATCCTATTGTACCTCAGTGTGAGTATACTCTCCTCCTCTTTTACTTTCTTCTTGTTTAAGATCGGCATTAATGTGTTTGATCATGCTATCATTGTTATTCAGGAAACTCTAACTTGGAAACTCTTCATTAAAGCTCGAAAACATGTCCTTTAATTTCTAATTTTTTTACCTTTGTATAATCGATTTATTATCCAGTGATGTTGGGGCATTATCGACATACTTTTATTGTTAAGATGAACTTATATTATGAGCATTTTATTTTTTAGGGTTGTATGCTTTCTCCATCTTCGATAAAATTCTTCACTTATATTATACTATTAATTTACTTCTTATTTTCTTCTTGCTCTACTTTATTCTTAAATTTCCACTATCTGGGGTTTTGGGGTTTTGGGG